CAGATCAAGAAAAACGACCATTGTTGGTTGCTGGATGCAGTGTCGCTGTTCCAGGATCTGTCGGAGGGTGAAGATATGATTGATGCAACCAACCTCTTGCAGGACGGAACCCAGCTCGGTTTTCACGGATCTGCCTCCCTCTGTGTTCAGTCAACCTTCGAAGGATAAGGCCAGCCAGAGAGCACCTTCGATACCACAGCTAAAAAGGCTGATGCACGGTGGTTTCCAAATAGCGCCCGCGTGCCCTTTTTGAAGATGCCGATAACCGTTGACACGCTCCATTCTGCAGGGACTTTCTATTCATCCCATATAGCACCAATAAGCTTTGTCAGGTGGGTCATCAGGGAATTTCCGCCTTCTTTGAAGAGGGCTGGATAAAGATCGTCCGGTTCTGGTGCCTTTTCACGTTTCAATACGGCTAGTTCGTACCTTATTTCGTCTTCCGAAGGGCGATCAAGGTTTACATTCCATTTGCCCGTATGCATTACCTTCACTGGCTCTGTTGCAGGAGGCCAGTTGAACTGCTGTTCGAAGTGTTCGGCCCATCTCTCCAGTCGGCGTGTTTGGGAGTGAATTAATGAGACATCATTTTCACTTTCGTTTCGCTGACCGGTCAATCGAGTCAGTTGATAAAGGGCACTACTGCTTCCCGTGGCAATAGCCTTCTTCATCTCCCGAGCTTTCGATATCCACCAGAGCTCTCGGTCTTTCCTTAGACTCTTCACTATTTGGCGTTTGAGGGATTTGCGTGCGCCGTCGTACTCGTTGTCTGCTGGTATGGCTTTCCTGGCATCAATCATGGATAACGACCTCGACGAATTCCAGTGGTCCTGTGGTCGAATTGGAGAAGTAGGACAGGCAGCACTGAACACCGCTAGCATAGCTCCTTTCACATTTTACCACGCTTAATCCACATGCTCACTGCCACCACAGTATTGTTTTACTGTGGAGAGTTGTTGGGCTAGCTCAGATCGATACTGTTGAGCTGTTCGAAGATAGTGTTTAGATCACAATGAGTAGCTTGGAATCCCTCCGTGTCAGTTGAATAGGCGGTTGACACATGCTCACTCAATGGTTTGTGCTTAGATACATCAAGGAATAATTTAACTAGCTGTCCGCAGTTGCAACCCGCGTAGATGTCCAATCGAACAGTCTCTCAAAGCGCGATCACACACGAGTCAACATACATACAGACAATAACTGTTTATTTCCTCTATCGTGATTCTGAGTATTCCGCTTCCGAATCGACTAACAGTGGTAGATGCTTTGAGTTACTAAAGGAATTCTACTAAGAATAATGTTAATCCGCCAGTCATGTCCGTAAAATCGGGTCGACAGAACCCTAAGAACTCTAAGATCTGAACAGGAAAGATTTATCCCAGTCAAATTAAGTGTGGTTGCTTTAGGAAAGAGGGCTAATGGGCTAATGGCTGCGTGTGAATTCCAAAAAAACTGTGAGTTACAATTTTATGGTATCCATTGGGTAACTGTTTTCGTCTTCCACCGTTGAGCTGCGCTACACGGGCGACTGCTGTTTTCGGGTGTACCAACACTCCCAAAGCATCACGTATTTCTAAGCCTTTTGAAAGTTCACCAGTCTAAATCAGAAGTGTTGTGCGCAAACAGCTTATTCTGGCTTCTCTGTACGCCAACATCTAAAACGCTGCCAAACGCGAGATTCTTTGAGAAGCTGGCATTCCTGAATGACACTGTGTACTGGCAACATATCATTACATTCTGGATAACTTCAGAAGAAATGTAATAGAGTATGTTGTTAGAATTCAGTGTACCCCCTGACTTCATCATCTGAATTTGATACACAAGTCAGCAGACAAGCCACTATTGTACACCACTATTGCGCAAGTGGTATTGTTTTCTAGGGTGTACGGGTGTACACGCGTATGCATGTCCGCATCATCACCAAATAATATTTGCTTACCCGATCACCTAATGAAAGTTTTTTTTGAAGTAAATGTGTAAGACTTTTTGCTGCATGCGAAGGAAAACTTATTTCCATTGATTTTAACAGACATCGTTTACATAAGAGGCTGAGATCAGGCGTTGTGACAATCACAAGTACCAGGCAGATTCCTCACTTGTCGTCAAATGTCATATCAACGGGGCGCTGGCAACCCTTATCATATTACGGCTGCGCTTACAATTGGGGGTAGTGAAAAGCCAAGATAAATACCTTTACGCTCATGACCACACAAGTTGAGACTGTTGATTCCCATGCAAATTTATCGCCAAATGATAATGTAAACCAATGTACGTCGTGTTTGAACTAAAGTTAGTCTCACATATAAAACTTCGGACACATTCCTTAGTAAATTATGGGCCTATATAAGCTTTGAAATAATATACGGAGCATCGATGAGCAAAAATATTCGTACCAAGCATTAGAACTAGCGCAGCTGCACAACAGTGAGATATAATCAGGAAGTGGAGCATAGTTTTCCAAAATCGCAATGATGAAACTCACTTTTAACGGTGAGCGATCACCGCAATCTCGAATGTAATGGCCTTGAATGGATGGCATCATGGTGTCTCATCTGTTAGCAAACCTGCAATACTCGCGTTTTCAAATGCACTGCACGAAAAGCCACATCCCGTTGACCCATACCATTGACGTTGTGTTAGTTTTGTTGGCGCTTCAGGGGGTAGTTTGTTTTTTACTTTTTAAATTTGGCTGTCGTGGCTGAAGATCAGTCACGTTAAGTTAAACGATCGTAAATTAGGGGAAAAGTTGAAGTTGTCAAGTCACTTTGCCTCATATTCGAACTTACTAATTAGGACAATAATTACCTTGAAAAGTGTTTAGGAGTTTAACTGTGCCCATGTGATCCAGATCGTTCTTTATACCGGCACCAAACATTCGTTTGGAAAACGACAGTGTCGGTTGAAAATTCATTCATCTAACATGTATGTCATTAGCCGCAATAAGGGCACTCTGCATAAGGCACTGGTTTCGAAAATAAAAGTACTCTATATTTAATAATTTATTGGCAAATGGGAACATTCTTATTATCCCCTTTCGAATAACAGGCAAAGGACATTACTCACGGTTAGCACCTCTAATGTGTACGCTTTTATGGTGTGTCTTTACGCTCAAACATGCATAGTGTGGCCTGGTGTTGTACAAAGGTGGATATGAAAACACTCGGATATAAACTACGGCACAGTAAAAACATAGAGAATGAAGAATGAATAACGGGGTCCTCAGCATTCATCTTAGTTCGTCACTACGGCTGTAGATACTTTGGTTAAACACCAAAATGTTCATTCGTTTTTAGTAATAAACTGTTTGGTAGGAGCCCTGAACTGTAGAGTTTATCCCTTTTAATGAGAGGGATTGCATCCTTGGAGGTTTTTCATATTTTATTGGGAATTTATGTCTTAAGTTTTCGATTCTTTACTGGATGGCTGCATCAGCTTACAAAACTGTTTCAATTTTCAGCCGAACCTGAACTGAGAGACAGATACCAAGTTGATGTTCCTGCGAAGGACAAATTACTTGGACGTAAACAAAGTGAGATCACCTTATGTATTGATGTATTTGTTTGATCACCTTATTTTTCTGACTGACAAGGTGTATCAAATGGTCTTCTTTCCACATTGGTGATTAAAAGGGAACAGATTATGGAATAGAGGCAAACGCAATGGCGCACTTGATAGCAAGTCCGGTTGCCACTAAATAAAGAACGCAAGCACTGAACGAATTCACTAATCTCAGACTGACCAACCCGTGTACCACATCCATCATTATGTGACCCACGATTATGCTCCACCTTATGGTCGCATTTGGAGGGTACCTGGGAGAATCAACCCAGTTTCCAGGCATTACCTGCCTCCAGAAATTGTTTGTTATACGGAAATATCCCTATTTTAGCGCTGCCATTTTCTGTTATTCATATTCCATTCACAAACTGAACTGCTCTACTTTTCTTTTTGCCTGAAGTATCAACGCGATCAATTATGTCAGGGCGAAAACTAAAGCCTTTCAACGACTAATTTCTAGTCTGACCTTCTTTTTTCCCAGTTCTGTAAAAATTCGATGAATGAAATACCTGAAATCAGTACATACTCACGCAATTTGTCCACTGGGGCTAGATTTTGCCACAGATCAGGACTAGATACTTTTACTGCCGTCTTTTCTTGAAATTTTTCTGTATCAGTTCCACAGTCACAACATTAGAGTGTAAACACACCTGTCTGATCGAACGGGATGATTCACATTTATGCGGAGCGCGCTAGTGAAAAAGGTAAGATGTCAGTTTAGCCTATCGTGTGTAATTTCCGGCAATCTCAGCAACCACTTGCATTGTTACGGGTGAAATTTGAATACAGCAATTCTCCTAACTGTAGGGACTCACGGAGTAACTACGCTTAGAGGAGGAGTGGGATGTACACACCGATACGTTGAATGCTAAAAACAGTCGTGCATCATGGGTCGGTCGCAGAGGTCACTGGCTTCTGGGATTGAATTAAGTTATTATTCAGTTGAATTTAGAAGGTGAATATCTTTTGAAGGACAGCCTACTTTTGCCTACTTTTGGTTTGGATAGAATATATGACTGACGGAAACACAGGAACTGCATCCGCCTGGTTACCTTAAAAATAGCGAAATTGGTCGTCAGCTATCGAAGGTTTCCCAGTAAACTTATGATTTGCCCGTAATGCTCCGACAGTATTTGACTCAGACTGTTCTTGTCACTGAGTTCAAATCGACTCTACTACTAAGAGGCTGAAATGCCGGTTTACTTCATCCGCTTATGGAAGACTTGTATGCTTGTCCGACTGAGATAGCAGATAATGTTTATCTCGTGCCTCTGAATCATCACCAGAATTCGACGCTCAACTACGAAAATGTTTTCTTAATCGTTTTGTATTAATCAACAAACTAGAATTTGCATAAATTTTTTTTTCAATGCCAAGGCTGAGTAAATAACGTTTCATACATATTTGATGAAACGTGCAGCCGAGTGCGATACTTTGTATTGCGTTATTTCGTGTTCACGTGTACCTGGGCAATTCGCCAAATAATGATACCGACATGTGCCATGTGCTCGCCGTTTACATCATCTCGGTTGGGGACAACATGATGTATTCCTACTCCTATTCGTGTAAAGAAAAATATACACATAGGTGACGTTGTTATTTTCCTTTTTGTAAAGCTTTAATTTTTGTGCATTTTGGAATCTTTCTTAACCAGTGAAATAACGACCGAGGCTGAGGAATCTGCCGGGGAAGTATCTGTGATACAAATGTGATTGTAGACAAAACAGAAGAGTCAATCTTCACTGCAGAAGGTCTTGAAGAAGAAGAGCATCAGGATCTGAGACATTAAGATTCAGTGCATCGTATGTCAATCGCAGCTTCGTTACAGGCATCTGTATACCCTTCTTTGAGTCGAATTCACTATTCCGACATACTACTCACTAATGATGGTCACCGCTTTACAGTGTTGCAAGGATTTATTTTGCCAAGCGTTGCGGGACAGTGTGTACCTTGGCAAGTTTGGCGTTTACCCCCTTGGTTTGCTGGAAACAAGCACCAGCAGTGGGAGCTCCTGTACATGAGGTGCCAACTTTGATTTCCGGATGCGTAATGGTTAGAACCGAGGGGAAACCTGAAAGAAAACAAACACAACCCTAAAGGTGAATGGATTCTTATTTAGATTGCTAGCTGGATAGGAACAAAAGACAAGAAGAAATATCGACTTTAAATTACCAAATTTCACATCAGAAGCAAGCCGTATGTGCCCTATAAGAAGTATAATTCCCCAACTTAATGGAAGCCGCAACATAAGAACTTGCCACCCAGAGGACCCATTGGTGCGTAATCAATTAATGTGATTTCCAAGAATTGGAGAATGAGTAGCGCTATGTGCTGCCCAGGTTAGATCTGGTGATGTTAATAATCAGCTGCTCTTGTTTGAAGGTCGAGTATCCAATCGGTGACGGGAAATGTGGGTTTCAGGCTTTTTTCGCTTCTTCAGGTGCGCGCTGCTGATTATTTTCAGTAAGGATGAAAGAGCTGTACAATGCTTCTCGGCAGGATGACTACTCAAATGAAAATTACCCAATTTCCCTCACAATAAGTCAAACGAAAAAGCGAAGGTCTTTTCATTGACAGCCTGCTAGATTGTGACCAAGGTTAAGGATGATTTAATCAATTTGCGAGCTCGTCCAGGTGAACTAAATTTAACGTTCAAATAAATACAGTTCATATGACGACTTGGCTTTGGAATTCCAAAAATCTTCATATATGTGGAGTTTTCAACTCACATTTACATAAAAACTTCAAATTGCGCCAAGACGATCTCACATGGATTTTAGTTGTAACTAATTCTATGCCCAGACTAACTAAAGACCGACGATATGTCCAGAAAAGTGGAAGAGTAAAGCTTATTGAACACCCGATGCTCAGGTAGAGTTAACCGCAGATTAGTTTAGATTCCTCCTAGGGGGCAATTTATAACACAAAAGCAGTTAACATACAGAAATCGAATGAAAAATGTACATCACATTTCACGATATAATAATCAGTGTTTTGTACCCGATATTTAAAATACTGTTTGCTTGCGTCGTCTGTTAGTTTAGTTTATTTATGAATCGGATAAAAATTTTCATAAAATAAGACTGCTGCAAAGCCGAAAGCATTTTTCATTTACAACTGTCTTCCTTGACGACCAATTTTTGTTAAACACGTCCGGTGAACCTTTTATTTCTTTTATACTGCCATGACGAACTATGTTTCAGCAGGTCAGACTTCAAAATATTTTCTGAAAACGTCAAGGTCGCGAGTATTCAGTACGAACAAACGTTTTCAACATATTTTTGTATAAATTAGGTAATCACTTTGGGTGAAAAGAAATGGATCTTGTTCCACCTACCAGATGGCGCCGTTTCAACATCACATTGTCATTTTTCTGTCTCAGAAAGATCAATAATGCATAACCAGATGACCTAGCGGTAGATAGTTCTGCAAAAAGGCCCCCACATAAAGGTGCATTGTTTCCATTAGGTTTCAAAATATGCTGAAGGACAGAGATGTTTTGGTAGAATGATTGATGAACCTATATGTAGGGAAGCACTTAAAAATGGATTACGTAGTGCGCCGCTATGTAGAAGGATTGCGTGACATTCTGTAAGCGAGCAGATGCAAGGGCGCCATCACTATACTTACGTTGAAGTTGTTTTCTTAGGGGGATTTGCAGAATGAGGGCGCATTTTGTCGGTCGGAATAACGGTCAACTAATACCCATGATTTTATAACAGTAAACCTCGACCACACCGAAGCGCCAACCCTCAGTCGAACCATTTTCGAAATGTATAAATTTTGCTATCTTCACTGAGGCAGCCTTATTGACAAGATTTCATCTACACCGGTTTTTTTCTGCACAACCCGCGCTCTTTTTCAGTAGCACATTTATGCACTGTTTGAACTCTGCTGTTGCTGCTTTTGGCGATTATAAATAACACGCAGATAGACCAGAGTGATTGATGTACTCGTAATTCTGCCCCCTTACTTTAACTGTGATATAAGAATATTCGGTTTACGGATTTCCAAGTTATTATGCAAGCCTGACTGTTGTGGGCTCAAGGAAAAAAGTTGGTGTATTGCATGTTATATTTCTTCGTTTGAACAGTAGTACAACTGTTATTCACTTTACAATTTTTAGGCGGTTTGCTCGCACCCCACCTTTGTGTGGTCATCTATTATGAACCACTTGGCATGCCATTACCATTTTCATATGCATTCTCCGTATGGACATTACCTAACTCTAGCAGAATTGAGACAAATAATGAAGTTGTGCGCATTAGTGATTAAAAAATATCAAGTTCTCTTAATCGCAAACTTGTTTTGAAGTAAAGTGGTAAATAAATGCTCAATTGCTGCGTTTCTTAAATATACGGTCCTTGTAATCTAAAAATGGTACAATGCGACTAACCACTAAATTATTAGTACGCATGTGCACACAATTGTCATTTGCTGATGTTTTAACCTGATTTGAGATTTGCTATTTCATTCCGGTTTTCGAGTGCCTGTTTTTCCACAGATGTATTTTGATGTTCGGATACAATGAGATTAGGAGGCTTAATTACATTTGGTTCCCAAACAAAAGAGGTCCTTCAATGGGGGTCAATGCGGTCAACATCAATATTGTCAGAGGTTGCTTTGAACACTGAATAAGGCCGCTGTTCTCGAGAGACAAAATCACATCTTCGGTCTTCAAGGCATTGTACGCATCCATCTGGGGAGCATAAAGCAGTACCTTAACCGTTTGTTGGTGTCAGAAACACGCTAAAAAATCTGGATTCATCGTGGTTGATTCTTCAGTGCAGCAAATATACTTCTCCGATATTTCATTTGGGTAAATCCTGTCACACAACTTGTAAAAGAAAACATTGAATCATGCAGACCTCAAAGATTTTCAGATGTATATGATGAGCTGACAACTTTTGCCTTTTCAAAGATGCTACCGTTTACTTAGCGACCTTTTTTTATATTATGCCAGATTTTCCGTTAATAATTTGATACATTTTTAACGCCTACAAAATCCTGTGGGTACTTGAATTAACCCACGGATGTAGCTCCTGGTGTCTCATAAATACACAAACACAGACCTGACTAAATGGTCTCTCGATTAAAATTCGGAAAGGTGAGAATAACAAAAAGTAGGGCGGCACTGCACAAAAGATCATGATTTTACATTAGCTGTCCTATAGCGACATCTATGCATAATTTATATGGAGTGGGATTGATTTTGCGCCAAATAATTTGTAATAAAAATGTCCGGTTATCACCTTCTGTGAATCTTGTGAAGTTTGACATTGTTTGTGATACCGTGTCCCGAACATGGTCACGACCATCTACTACGGTCACGTAGACCTTATTCACGTTTTGAACCAGGGGTATTTTGCAGATTTTAGCTCCGTTTATTTTAAGATCAACATTTATTCGCAACAGAAGTGTAACCTTAACGTCCAATTCGGAGGTAATGTACGCGCTAGTTTGATTAGCTGGTAGATTCCTACTCATACAAGTATGGTATATCCAACGATTGGGTTTGAGCAAACGGCCCCAATTTCGATTACTCTATTTAAGGCTGAGCTACACAGCACTTGCATTTAAGCTGAGTTGAATAGTTTATTAGTTCTCCGCGTTGTTGTGATATACAGAGAAAGTACTCCAGAGGATAAGAACATAAAAATAAGAGATTCAGCTGGGTTCCTAGTAAGTCACTTGTCGAAAACAAACTGACGCGCAAATTAATGTGCTTGTTAAAATTTGTTCATCTTGGGTTCAACTAGGACATATAGTCTATGGAAACTCAGGGACTGCTCCTTACTGATGAGTCCCGTGCAGAGCGAAAACCGATCATGGACTGTCAAAACATTTTCAGCAACGTTTTTGAGTAGTGTATTAAGTCGATAAATACACATGTTACATTTTCGAATATACTAGCTGCATTGCTGTCAAAGTTTGCAGCGAGACGGTACTACGCATTTTTATCCAACGCAAGCAACTTTTAAACGGTCGGTAATAGGGGATCTGGAAGACCTTTGGAGAGAGAAAAACTTTGGCACCCCATCATACATCGTTGTGGGTTTTTGAGAAAGTATCAAGGCGAAAAAAGCGGAGAAACATCATTGAGGAGACCAATGCTTGCGTGTGTAATGGAGTCTTTAGATGTACTTATATATCTCACATTGTTTCATTACTGTAAGAAGAACACAAAATTGTCTGCGGCTGTTAAAATTCATCCTTCGTGAAAATCTGATGCCACTCGAAAGTAAGTCCCACTGGAAAGTATCTAAGTTCTGTTTATGGATAACTATCATATATTTTTACTAATGTGTATCAAGAGCCGAAGTAATTTGAAGTCCTTCACAATGTAGTCTATTCAGTTGTCTTGTAAAACAATACATTTAAGCCCATAACCTCACAACAAGTGAGGAAAGGTATGGAATGCTATCGGTCTTAGTTTAGTATCTGTATGAAATTCAACACCGAACTTAAAGCTGATAACAATATTTGGTTTGAAATCTGTCACCCACATTGTTACTTGGTCATTCCATCATGCCTGGATGTTTGAATGAATGACTGGCAGGCAAGGCCGCATTAAAATTAAGCTCGTTTCGCTTGTTGGGTCGTTCTTTAGCAGTGTCCACCCATCCAATTGGTCCACCGTGATTAGGTAAATTCCACCATCATTTGTACGAAGGAATTCACCATGAATAGTCGGTCAGTGAACGCAGAAGTCTGCTGTTTTCTGGCCTAAGCCGCAAAGGCATTCATTCATCCTATTTGATTCGTTTCACAATATCTTCTATCCACATAGCTGAGTTAACGGCCTCACCAGAACTCTGTGTATCCCTATATATTCTAATTACCTGTGTACGATATTTTACATGCCTTCGTTTAGAACTCGAAATCCTACCGCGTATCTTTCGGGGAATGAGCCTAACATAATATGAGTTATCCCTAACCAGTTTTTCATTGATCACGTTTATACCTGTCTTTTCATTCTTTATGCGTTTTAGTTACGGTCACCGGGCCGTTACTTGTATTCTATGGAACACCCTTAGAACTTATATGTCGGGCAAGTTTTCCCACGGATGAAGCGAAACTGAACCCAAAAATTACCTTGGAATGGTACCACCGCGGAGTGAGACGACGTACTCACCCGACACGTTCTGGTGGTATATTCATCACAGAGCGCTGGATCGATTCTCACATATTAGAAAGCAGACTGCTGGTGACTTGGGCAAGTGAAGCAGATGCTGGACAGTGGATCTGCCTCGATCGATCTGTAAATTCACCTGGTCGTGGTAACATGGTCAAAGAGCAAAATAATTCGGGTTTTAGAAATGATCGAAGGGATGAGATAAACTTTTTGCCGATGAATCCAAATTTTTCCTTGATCAAGGACCAATTGTCTCCAGTTGCGCACTCCAAAGCTGATATTGAGTTTGATCGAATCGACGTGATGGTTATCGGTAAGTCAATTAATGGAATCGGGGATTTAATTTGCTAAATTCTCCGACAGAAATGTTGCAAACAATCTTAACTCTACCGGCCAAAATCACCCCTAGCAGCTACTGGCCAATAAGAGGCTGACTGTAAGTGGTGCAGTAAAGCGTCTGATACATAAATATAGGAAACTGTAAGAGAGAGAAACCTACAAAGCTCTACCTTTATAAAGAACAAAAAGCGAGAAATAAAATAAAAACGAAAATACCTTATTCTCTCACATTTAGGGATGACTATTTCAACAAGCTTGTGTACTTTATCAGGCTTCTGAACGTTTGGCGTGTGTATTGTACATGCTGCTTGTTGAATGTAAATGTGAGTGATAATCTACGAAGCTGTTTCAAGTCTGAGGATAATGACTACCTACATTGCTATACCAGACCTCAAGTACTGGAAGAGAATGTGGCAAGTAAGCGTGGAATTTAAGCCAAATTGTGGGTGTCATATTTAGACGATGTTTGCTGAAATATTTAGCATCCAGTGTTGACAACTGCGGCGGTCTGCTTTCTTTCTCGTACGAAGAATTACCTTCACGAGTTCGTTAAAACATCGAAGGAGATATTAAGAAGACTTTTGCACAAAAATAATGTTGTCAAAGAACGAACGCTGTCTGTAACCAAGTTAAATGACTGCTAGTTCTGCAGCTACTAGCTACCAAATCTGCCATATCATTAACGGCTTCTGGAAAAAAGTACAATGCACTTTGAGTTTTATTCCATTCTTGCCGAGATTTATTTTCCTGAAACCATGTTAGATTTCTCAGCAGAAAATTATGCCAGAAAATCCGTTTTTTGAACGCGTCCACTTTTCAAGTTACACACTAATGTATCATGTAGCCAGGAAGACAGTGGGTAGCACATCCTCCACGATAAATTCTAAGCGGTAATTGAACTACTAGAAACAATGTCCACAACATGTGGACATTATTGAGCGCTAACAGCACCATGTTTACCGTGACCCAGATATTGAACTTTTTCGGCAGATGGTTCACAGACACAATGGTTATATTATTCATCTTACCTAGATAATTCGGCTTTCGTTGTTCCTCGAGAGGCCACCAGTAACCAGCGCTGGATGGAATAAACCACTGATTCAAGTGATGGTGCAATCATTCGCGTGATATTCTCGCTTTCGATGTAAAATTCGGCCGCAATGACTGTCTATTTTAACTACAAAACACTGAATTGCTACAGAAATTTTTCCCTTAATAAAGCTGCAATAATTGAAGATTTCCAAAAATTTAGACAGGCCAGAATTTTCACCGGGCTGAAAGATCAGCATGTTACAGTCTACTAACTTGGACTCACAGGTCTGCGTCAAGCGCCGGATTGTGCTAAACTGAGCGGGAAACCATCCACGCAAACCTGGTCTTTAACTTGAGCAGCATTTAACCCAACTCATCTGTTAAATACTACCACGATAGGTAAAATTGAAATTCGATTCAATTCGGAACTTGGGAGACACTTGTGTTTGCTCTAGCGATGTATCTAGATTTTGGCGCCTCCTGATCGAAGACTCAACATCAACGAAACAATTCTTCGGCTATATCTGTCGGCATAAAAATGATTTTGGTGTACATTTGTCCGTATATTGAATTACTGACATTGAGTACTATCTATTATTCAAATATTACGCTTATTAGACCCGCATACCAGATGAGAAAGTTCATCCATCTGACTACCATGAGTAGAACGCAGGTATATAGTCGATCTATAGATGAAAATGATGGAAGCTCATGTGCCGTGGATGGTCGTTGATTTTTTCCTTGTTCTGGGCTGTTTGATTGCAAACGTACATTTCACTACCAACCTTAGGCGTTGCGCACCCCAACAGCGCACTGATGATGTTACCTTGATTGATGAAGAAACGTTTGGAATAAAATTACTAGCTCTGCGAACAAACCAGCGACTATAGAGTCGACCTCATAAAACAGTAAAAAGCATATCATGGTAGGATGTCATTATGGAAATACTTCATTTGAGCATATATTCGCCTGCGTACGAAGACAACCTGTGCGACATAATGGTCAACCAACAAAATATCATTATGTTGAACTTTACTGCACAAACTTCACAATAATCTGGAGGTTGGATACCACTTACTACTTTGAATTACCCCGTGCCTACAACATCAGTCTTTGTCATACTGTCTGCTTTTCTGCACTGTATAGCCAGAGAAACATACGCCCAGCTAGACGTATCCGGTATCCGAAGCCTCTGTCGAAAACTGCTGACAACGATACAGTCTACATCGATATGTCTCAAATTCGTGCAGCAGTAAATCAATTCCAGTTGAACTTACATTTTTCAACTGAAAAATGCAACACTAAGCATGAAACTGACAAGCTGTCATCGTATGATAAGAGCACAAAAGTATGGTAGGGCTAATTTTATTTGCTGCCAGCCTGGCAGCATAGTAACATGTTGATCAGCCTGTTGGTTTGAAGACGGTCGATTGAGCATCAAAACTAAAAAAAATGGGTAGCCCGGACATGAAAACTAACAGATGACGACGAAACAGTGGGGAGTTTTCATCGCTGATTCAACCTAGAATGTGAGAAATTACGTGCTCCTAAACCATAATGTTGAAATCCGTCCGTTTCTTAGCACATGATGAACAAAATAGGCATATAAAGATGCCAAAATTTGCTAACCTTTGAGCTCAGAATGCACGGGCCTGCCAAAACAGCCAGAAAAACTGGAGCGCACAAGCACGCAAGAACCGCTAATTAATCGTAATCGATGATGCCGGGGGAGAGTTGTTGTCGTTGTTGGCACTTAACCACTGAATCTAGAGACCCGCTGAAAAAAAACAATTCATTCGTTTCGCTCCACATCAGACTTACCGGACCCAACATTGGCAGTCACCGCCACTCCAGGTAAGTTTACTCAGGGCATGATGAACAAACTCGGCTGATTTAATTCATTCACACAGCATGACAAACACGGTTGCATGAGGCGCTTGTCACATTCAGATTTCTTCTGACAAATTATTACGAGTGCCAAGCCGACTTAGCATGTCATAGACCTTTATGTTTGCAAAATTTCTGAACGGTATCTTACCTTTTTATTTCAGTACCAGCTTATATGCCCATGAATGATCAGGCGCCTCAGCCGACAAAACAAAATTTAACAGCTGTTGTAGCCAGGGCAGGTTCTTTAAGGGGATCTCCACGACTTTCCCTTCGTCCAGGAAATGCAGTTCGTCGACCATCATACTTCGTACGTCTGATTTCAGTATGTACAGTTCTCACTGTGACCAATCGGTTCCTTGTTCGAACCTAGACACAGCTTATTTAGTCTTCATCAACCACTAATGAATGTTTGGCATGTACGTAGAATGTAATCTCCCCTACCCAACAGATGTGAGAAAATGCCCAATTCGCTTTCTTATGCCTTTGTACAGTAAATCCAACAGAATTACACTTGTCACTATTTTATTTTCATCTTTACCTACACCCTATATATGCTTTTCAGCATCGTAGATAAGTATTACATTTTATGTACATGAACATGTGGTGCGCATTTTGTCAGAAAATACAGTAATTGGTAAAATGGTTGGATTATACACAAAATGATGAGTTATGGTTATTGATTAGAGGTTTCACAAGGGCAAACTGGGGCGACTGAGCGTAAGATACTTTCATCCGTTTGACAGCATACTTGGCCAAACTGCAACCCCCCAAAAAATGCACCTTCAACCCAGCTGAAAGTTGGGTACTTAACTGAATATCAAAGGTGGAATACGGTCACCGAAATGAAATTTTTGTATTGTAATTGGCGTAGGACTATAAGTTATCGATGTTAGGTAACTCGCTTCAGTAAGTGAAATCAGTTTATACTTAGTGTATCGGGTGTCTAAACACCACACTATGCACTATGACTTATTCATAAGGTTGTACGTTGTTGAAATTTAAAGTCCTGTTAAATAGAGCGAAACACCTTGCCTTAAGTTACACTCGTCTCGAGTTGATACAAACTTTTAAGTAGCTCCTGTTGGTGACTTTCTGGTGCTTATTGCCAAAACGCAGTCACCGGACAACCGCGAAGCTGCTTTGGCGCCTGAATTTTAAAGTACAGACAAGCATTTGTTTGTGTAAAAGGTTTGCAGGGTATCAAATTGTTAGCTTAAAGATATTGCGATACGTCTGAATCGCATATAAGTCATGCAGGTTTTCATTTCCGCGGTAGTTACACATTCTATCCCTATGAGTGTGAGGAATCTCGGGCTTAAATGGTACAAGTAGAGCAATATGGAAAAAAATCAACTGCGAATCTAACAACAGGGATAAAATGGGACAATTGTACCAAAAGTCAAAGTGTACTGCCCCCCTCCAAATTTTTCATACACAATATTTACTCGCGTAATAGGAATATGGTTTGCTTGATCTATACTTTGTGGACCTGTTTAATTAGTAACACAAAAATCCCTATACGAGCCAGTTATGTTGAGTAAATTTACAGTTAAACAGCAGTGCCCGATATACAAGTGCCTTTCTACATTTCAGAGTGCATACATTTTTAAAACTAAACTGCGTTACCATTGATATAATTGACTTTGCGTGAAACCGGCTATTTAGTTTGGTTGCGTGTTCTGGTGCCCGGGATTTTACGGTGAAAAAAATCACAAAATTCAATTTAATCACGTGCATGTAAAACATAGAATACAAAGTAGTATTCGAAAGAATACCAGTTCTTGAAGTTGATGAATGAAAAGAAAGAAGGATGAACAAAGGAAGGAGGCTTGAAAAAACGGAAAATTACACACATAAAACTAAAGCAATAGTAACATTGATGTGGGGGTCCCCATTCGTTGCTATCTTAGTTGTTGTCCCTAGTATGAAGTTTGCTGGCATATGGTCCCTGAAGGCTTAGTTCGTAGTCATGATTTTTCAACACATCTGGACTCAGAACAACAACACTTGAAAGTCAACTGAAAATCTGTGACTAAAGGATTTGCAAGTCATACTTACGGAATATTGTGATGTCTGGGCATATAATTCTATCCAAAACTAGCACCTTCAGGTACTCCAGTTTTCGAATTTCCAGTGAAACCTTGCAATGACAGCCTGATGATGCTGGAACTACCTGAGAAACAACGATTAAGCCTTCATAAGCTGAGCTTAAGTACGCTGCGCATTTCCGGCGCAACCGTTCACTTGTGTCAGGAGTAAGTGTTCGTGGTTCACAGTGTTCAAGTTGCAGAAAATGTTTTGCATACTGTTGCAGCTGTGTTTAAAGTGCTTCACGAATAGTTGACGTGACATCAGTATTCTACTACTTTGTGCCGGAGTGGAACAAAGAGCCTGTGGGAGCGTGCTGCAGACTGGTGTCCGTTGGTGCATTTACTTTACTCTGCAGAAGACTGCTCAACAACGGTTTGACAATCCCTTTGATTAAAGCGATATATGACTTACTGGCTGGTTGGGTGGAAATTTTTTTCAAACTTGACTTCTACTACGTGTAATTCGTGAGTTCCTTCCGGTGCACCTTTTATCTAATACTTGGAGCCTTGGAGTTACCCGATTAGTTAAAAGGCGACTAGTGTTTGACATCTCGTTCGATTTGATTGTCATAATGTGTTAGGCCGCAAAATATGCACGTGCTTGGCTCGTGCGGATGGTAGGATTTCCATTTCCGGACTCGAAATGTGTCTTTCAGGACAATGTGCAAGAAAGCCAATAGTTTTGCATCATCTTCTAGTGGCGACCTGTAGTGGATGACAACTGTTAGGATTTTATTTTGTTCGACCATATTGCTACTCTTTATTATTAGAACTAATCCCTTACTCTTCGGTCTTAAAAACAATCCTCTGCAGATGATCCTCGTTCTGCAATTTACTAAGATTTTTTGTGGTTTTATGGTTTGTTTTGTGCCTTCAGCTCTCTTCTGCGCGCATGAAATCTAAACGACTGTTTCATCGAGTTACCCGTTTACTTAAATCTGCCTGAACCCTCTTAAATATTTGTTCCTCCTAATACTCATCGTGAGGGGTCCTATGATTTTCTTCTTAGCTTCGCTACTCTAAAACACTCATTTGAGTAACATTTTGATTCAACACGTTTCTTGATATGCTAGGTAGTTTATTTGGCGGTGGCATGTATTTTAATTTCTGCACTTAAGTTGACACCGTGATTAAAGAATTTTCTGAACCAGCGGGATCTAGACCAGAAATTAGTTATTTTCGTGGCTGCCATTAACAAATGATAGAGAAGGGGCCGCTTGAGTACCCTGATATCATCAACTTAACCTTGACATATTTAATTTCGTGAAACATTTGGCTTTTTGTATCTTTTGATGTATAATGTTTTGGAGATATGGTTGAGAGATCTAAGCATTTAGGATACAAATTTCAGGCAATTCCCGCTACATTTCGTTATGCGGCTTCACCCGTCATTTAGAAAACTAGCAATTATCCAAAGTAAAGAGCTTGGGATGACGTTTATCGAATCATTGTTGTCTAAAAATTTTCAGACGCGGAATATTATTAACGAAAGACTTCCAGCTCATCAACAAACAAAACTTCAACTGGTAATACGGACTAGACGACAAGTTTGCCGCTTGCTCTGAGAAAGGCCCACCACACAGCGCATATTGGGTGCTGCCTCTCTAAGAGAAAAGCATAAAACTCGTGGAAATGACTACTCTAAACACACAAATAAAATGCAAAAATTTGCCACAGATGGTGTCTTATGTGGAGCAAAATCGTCACACGTAGCCAGCGACCACATCACTGAAAATATTTCTGTAAGTATAACATTTAGTTTGCGTGATATGGGCCTACCGCCATATGAACCACGACTGCCGTCACTTTTCACTAGCGTTATTTGAAAGACAGCTCGTACAGCTCAATTAAAGACACAGTGTGTTGCTGGTTATCAATAAGGCTGGCATAGTTAGAAGTTATGACGATTATGTGGCTGGTATGAAATTATTTCGGGCACGTGAATGTCAGCGCGTTTCTATTTGGCAACAATTGTCTCACAAGCAGAATGCTGCAAATTGCAAGGTTGCAGAATCATGGATAAAAATAAGGTGATTTATTGAGGCTGTTCAAATCTAACCAGCTTAAGAATCGAAGCTCTTGTCACCAAGTGACGAACAGCGATAAATCTCCTTTTGCAGTACTGAAAAATTAGCAATCTTTTTTAGAATTTGGCTGGCGCTAAATGCCAGCTTAGTAAAAAGTCGTTGGAATCAATCTTCCCTGCATGGGACAAAGCAGGTGCTAATATAGTGTTCAGTAAAATTCCGGTGATTGATACGTGATATGTGAACATCCATCATTTTTTTTCGGACAGCGCTCATGCCGTCCTCAAGTGAGAAAAGCCACAACGTTTGTACCGGTACTTTTTAGAATTTGCGTTCACTTCAGATATGTCACCTAGGCTACAGAGCAATGGAGGCCTGTCATATTTTAAGACCAAATATCTGAATTTGTAGAGAAGTCATAGCGAGCGCACAATAAAGATGCACAGTGTTACACTGCGCGACGTCTGGCTATTATTCACAGAATGACCTGGTGGTTCTATATACGCATTCATGAGAAAACAACAGCTGGTCGTAAAATATGGTGCCCAAAAGCTTCGAAATAGTTTGAACATTTTAAAACTCCTGATAAGAAGCCAGTTAGCCGACATGCGAAAAATAAGTGTAATAGGTCCTCTCCCAGGGTTGAAACTTGTAAGCTTTCGAAAATATTATCCCTGGAAGAACAGCGAAAGCATTTTTGTGCTGCACGTACAAACCTGGATTTCGTATCACTTTGTCACTACCTATTCGGTGTCACAAGACAGAGATACATCTGCTTACTGGCTTTCGAGTTGTTCCAAAATGAGTGGAACGAGGTTTCGAATCTTTTCTTAGAAAGTGGCTTAGAAATCTTTGAAATGAAATTCCTCATAACAAAATCATGACAAGCAGCGTTTGGTTTCTCTGAATGTCATCAAACCGAGAATTTTATTGTCAGTTTTATGTGTTCAAGACGAACGGATCAAGCTTAGCTGACTCTCGGTCTTCAAGCCCACATCGGCATTTTTAATCACTTGTCGAAGACAGGTGATTACACCGCACATAAGCAAAAACTTTAACTGATAAAACTAGCTAATACCTGTGCGTGACACCATTAGTGCCAACTTGATAGGTAAAATGTGAAATTGGATATGTATGCTTTAGTTTTTGAAATCCACTCTAGTTTATTGGCAAAACCTAATGAATGATATATCAAACCGGAAATCTTGAGACACAACGTTGACTAAACTAGAACAACCTTGTGGACGTGCAGCTAGCGCCCTTCGATTTACGCATCGATGAACAAAAGCTTTTATGATCGCGAAACTCTCATACTTTTTCTGTCTACAGAGATACCAGCATGAAATTAATCACTTGGGCAACAAGCATGTACTATTACGGCAAACAAAGTCTTCCCATGATACAGAGCCTGGATGATGTAATTCAAAACTGTCTGGATTTATTTCTTTGGAATGATGCGCAACAAAACGGACAGACGTTCTAGTATGAAA